CAACACACAATTTTAATGTACATCAGTCCTTGCACTGATAATACAACACACAATTTTATTGTACATCAGTCCTTGCACTGATAATACAACACACAATTTTAATGTACATCAGTCCTTGCACTGATAATACAACACACAATTTTATTGTACATCAGTCCTTGCACTGATAATACAACACACAAATTGTACATCAATTCATTGTACAATACACAATTCATTGTACATCAGTCCTTGCACTGATACAATTCACAATTTTCTGTATATCAGTCCTTGCACTGATCATACAATACACAATTCATTGTACATCAGTCCTTGCACTGATGATACAATTCACAATTTTCTGTATATCAGTACTTGCACTGATCATACAATACACAATTCATTATACATCAGTCCTTGCACTGATGATGCAATTCACAATTTTCTGTATATCAGTCCTTGCACTGATAATGCAATACAAAACTTTATTGTATATCAGTCCTTGCACTGATAATACAATTTCATCATTCAATGGTACTCTATTCATCACACTAGATGAGTATTCTATAGAAAACATTTCTAAAATTTCATACCTTTAGCTATCCTTAGGTTTTCCTCCCCAGTAAATGGCTCTAAGATATCAGTCTGACCTCCTGCTTGAGTCCCATCAATTTCTTGTACTACACTTGCAACCTGATCTATCCTGGTTGGACAAACATTAGCAAAGTGGCCTAATTTGTCACATTTGAAACACGTCTTTGTAGTAAACCAACAAGTACCTCCATGGTGTTTCCCACAAGTGTCACATTTAGGGAATGTGAATTCATTTCTGTCACTATTACCATTTCTCTTGAACTCATCACCAGATTGCTTCACCCATAAACCTTTATCCTTATTATTTTTCAATTTAACATCAGTACCGTTGGTCCTCTTGACCTCAGCATCACCAAAAGTAGAAGATTTCAGATATCTACTATAAACAGTCTCTACCCGTTTACACTGGGTAATCAGATCAGCAAAATTCCTCACAGCTGTATTAGACATACGCTTTGCAATCTTCTCATTAAGTCCCCTCTGAAACTTAGCAGATAAGAATTCCGAGGTAGGCAGAGTCCCACCATAATTAGCAAACTTGACTAGTTCATTAAACTTTGCAGCATATTCATCAATAGATAAAGAGCCTTGGACCAGACAATCAAATTCACCCTGCTTGGCTTCCCTAGCATCCCTAGGAAAGTATTGCTCGTGAAACAAATTCTCAAATAGGTTCCAAGTAAGTTCTTGCCCCTGTATCACAAAAGGCCTAGAAACGTCGCACCACCACTCATGGGCATCTCCCTCCAGCATATAAACAGAGTACCGAAACTTCTGAGGGTCACGACATCTCATAACTTGGAAAATTTTATCCATACCCTGCAACCAAGTAGTGACCACCTTTGGGTCTTTAGACCCCAGAAAAGTAGGAGGCTTGTGTTTACGAAAAGAAATAAGTCTCCTCTCCTCAATAACACCCTCGTCATACTGTTCAACAATAATAGATGGCTCAACAAAAATAGTAGGTTGACTAGCCTCACCAGTGTGATGACTAGCTCCACTCTCCCTCTGCTGGGGAGTAACAGATGGCGTAGGTGTAGGAGTCACCGTAGCCGTGTGAGGAGGAGAATCATCCCTCCTATACTGAGCTCTCTCAGCCCTCATCTCAGTCATGAAGGCATGCAGCATGTCCTGATTATTCTTCATCAGGTTCTCTGTCATTGTTCTATTAGCAGCCGTCTCCACCTGCAGAGCATTCAGAACTGCAGTAACCGGATCAGGCGGTGGAGGATCTGTACCTCGCGTCCCACGGCCATCACGAATCCCCCTCATGATAACTGTACATGTAACACAAAGGAATGAGCTGATCAGACCCACACTGAGGAATCACATATACATTCATCATAAAGGGTTTACAGATAGCTGTGCAACACAACCTATAGTCATATCTAATCAGAGTTCCCTAGTAAACTGCTCTGATACCATAAAATGTAACAGCCCGTTGTACACCGGTATTGTTAACATTAATATGATATTAAGCGCAGTTACAATCACAGCAATTCATTTATAAAAATGCGAATAAACTTTTTACGATTATTACGCGAGCATTTAAAACAATAAAAGCGTAATAATTAAAAAGCTGTGACCGTAACTGAAAATTTTTGCGGAATACTTATTTTAACTACTTTTACTTCTTACTTTACTTATTATAAGTTACTAAGGAGTCCCCATAAACCCACTTAGCCAATTACTCAATTTTACGTTTTTACTTCTTTGAACATGGTTCAGTAATTAATTTTCTGCGAACACATCGCTCACAACCAGACCTTCTTCTCAGTTTATATTTTTTTTTCTTACTTAATTCCCTTTCTAATAAGCTATCACACGCTATGATCGGAGCACGTTTGCTCCGGATATCGCCGTTTGAAGTTGGATAAGCAAAACAGCCAACCAACCCCAAAACAGCTCAAAACCTCTCTCACTCCTCGAATTACTGCAGAAAATTCACTCATCCAATTGCTCTCAAATTTTTATTCTACAAACTAGACACCTCAATGTTCGATTTGATATATCATACGCTTAATTTGACCAAGAAATGAAGCAGGAATAAAATTCCCAAAACTGGACCAAAACAGCCCCCAAGTGCAGGGCAAAACAGGGCAGTTGTGTTCACTGACTTCCACAGGGCTGCGCACAACCTATAAAATTCTAATATTTTTACACAATGTAGGGGACATCTCAAGCTTCAAAACGGCGTATGGCACGTCCCTATCGGACCTCTATGGAGGGAGATATGCTCTCCCGAAGTTCACCTAAAATCTGCCAATTCTACAGAAAATTCGCCAGAGTTTCCTTTGTTTTTCCTTAAATCCCCAAATTTACATAAGCTTGCTAATACCACAAATATACCTAATAATCCAATGGGTGGCACACACAAGGACCAGCAATGCCTTGGGGCTCTTACAACCCACAATATACAACAATTTCATATCATATACAGTAGTATACATACATGATCCATAACTCTATATATATCATATCAAAAAGGTGGCTCTGTGCCATAACTACAACATCCTACATCAACCTACATAAACATAATACATCACAGTGTCACAAATATATACAACAGACTCCCAAAATAAGCAGGCAACATCTATGCTCAGATCTACTCATCAACCACGGGCCTCTTGCCCCGAGAACGATCGTCAACTGCTGCGATACCTGAAATATGTCCCCATAACGCGGGGTGAGAATGAATCTCAATAAACTTGGGGTTTATGGAGCAGTCTCCACCCAAGAGTCCACTTCCTGCAAGAAAATATCAAGTACCAAGACATAGATAACACCATATAATCCATATTAGAATTTATGTATCATATATCTTTTCTGATAATTCTCATTTATTCTTATAACGTACTTTCTATTAATCTTAGTATGTTCATGTCTTATGTATAAATAAGGCTTTCATCTTATATTCGTAATATCGTATCACATTCAATAGCATACTCATAATGATCAGAGAACTAAAGTTTCCTCGGCTATACCTTATGTATACCGTGATCATATCCATAATTGTTTCCTCTGTTCAGAAACCATAACTACACCTCCAAGGCTTTATTTCATTGAAGATCATATCATATTAACTTATCATAACATAAATAATATCATATGCATGCACTATATGAATGCAACTACGCAAAGTATCAATATTAACAACAATTATATCCATACGGAAACCATAATCGCCACTGATCATGGCGGAACAAAAAGGCTGAGAAAACTCCTAAACCGAAAGCTTACCTGTCACCTCTTTCCTGCTGCTAACTTGTTATTTAATACGCTGTACACTTGGTTGTCTCCAAGTTGTTCGTCCACCTACTTCGTTTGATTACACTCTGTTACCGTATATATAAAAGTACCATTAAGTTCCAATGAAACATACATTACTTGAAATCCAAATAATTATATTTCATATGTTAATTTCATAACCAACTTGACAATTTTATTTCCCTTGACAACTCATGCCATACCACAAATCTACCACTTAATTTATACTTCATAAATTAAACCCTCAACTAGTTAATTAACTTACCCTTTTTATAGTGGAATTTCATACACTTTAACATAGCTTCACATATCATAACCCACTTGAATCATACTTGATTATTCTAGGCAAATGCTATTAAACATTCACTTTAATTGAAACCACATAATCTATGCCCATTATTTCTTTATGGTCGAAGCCTATATATAAACATAATACACAATTCTTTTGTTGTCATGTTTAACCAATTAGCTTAATTCACATGCAACTATTCTTGACATAGAATTTCTATTAACTTGACCTAATCAACACCACATAATTTAAACCTCACATGATCGTAAAACTTCTTTCAATGATCATGTATTTATTTGTTCCCCAATTTTCATTAAACCTTGTATTAATCCACACTAACATATACCATGTAGCTATAAACCACATTAAGTCACTTTAAACCATCTCTAACCTTCTTTAATGCAATTTCCACATATTAACCTAATCCTAACTCACAAGGTTACATCTTTGTTTTAAGTGAAATTCTCACAATCCAAATTATCAATACTAAATCATGATTTATAATTAACATTTATGTCCATCAAACCTCAACTTACACACTCATTATCTTAATTAGCCTAATAGGCATATAAATGGATCCAATGACCTTTTTATCCTTTTCTCTCAATTAGGAAATATTCCATATTGATATATCATATCAAGTGAACACTAAACAACATTTAAATATCAAGAAACTCAATTCCAATGCTATCCATTCCATGTAGTCCGAATTATGACAACATAGATTTTTATAAAACAAAAATTTTTCTATCCTTTTTAGTCACTTGTTTATCATTTATTCAAGTTCCAATCATCATTAACTTAATGAACAACCAATTAATAACTTCAAACCCAAAAATAGGCCATAAAGCCAAGACACCTCATAGAGAGGTAAAACGTGATTCATTTCCAATTTAAGCCATAGAACCGTTATATAGCTCAAACACATGAATCTTTAATCTATCATGATCTTATTATAAACCCACAAATTCACTTCCACACACATTATCATTCTTAGGGAAGATTTGCCTTAAATAGGATTACACTACAATCTTGTGACTCAACATCATTTTCTTCATTTAAATCATCCTTAGGTCACTTAAATTTTGGTAGTTCTATTTAGGCATTTTATCAAACAAGTGATTTGCATAATTCACCACTACATGGCTGATTTGTTCTTTGTATATACAAGGTTCCTCTATTTTTATTTTCAATAATTTCATGCATAACAAACTTCAAACAACATAACAACTAATCTTCACACATATATCTCATCAAATAGTCAATATACAACCCAACAACAACAGCCCCAACACCCATCGTAGACTAATTTCCATTCACCATAAATAAGATATATTACCTTCTTTAGCTTCTCACACAACTATTCATCAATTTCCAAGCTTTAGAAGTGAAGAAGACCACTTGAAACCCCTTTTGACAGCATGTGTATCGCATTACAGGGAGAGGATTTTCTCACTATAGAGAGTTTCTTTCAATGAACTACACCTAGGGATATGTTAACAACATCGTAACCTTTACTTTCTATGAAGAAACCTAAGTAGGAAGATGACTAGAAAACAAGTTGCACTCTTGCCCTTTTCTTTCATAGAGGTTCGATGCACATGGAGAGTAGAAAAGAAAAGAATGAGCTTGGGAGGCCAACATAAGAGGGCTGTCGACTTATGGGGCTAGAATAGCAAAATATATGTATTTTATATCAAGTTCCTTTTTGACTTATCCACACTAATTCTTATTGACTAACTTAAACCACTGGGACCTTTTTTTTTTTAAAAAATAACGTTAGCTGCACATTAAGGGATAAAATGAATAAAAGAGCATGAAACACAAAGCTAAATGTAACTAAATTAATATTTCTTCTACTTAGTAAAACTTTGACTTTTCAAACCTTATTCTTATTGGTTCAACTATTTGTAACTTTTATTGGTTACTTAAAACACACAATTAAAAGAATGTAGCATGGAATGGAATGCTACAATGAAAAACACAAAAACTTAATAGTCTTAAAAGAACTAGATTATTGCATTTTTTTTAAAGCTTTTTGACCTTTCACCACTTAAATGGGTACCTATTAGTCTCACCAAAAAATAAACTACACGGGCCATTCTAATTTCATAGCACAATGGGCTTCACCAAAAATTCATGTGAACACCAATAATTTAATAACCAATCCACTAAGTTTAAAGATATCTCATAACTTGTTAATTCACACAAGTAATTTGACCTATTTAAAATTCCCTATTAGTTGATATTAAATCAATTCCAACTTAAATAAATAAATCTCTCTACACATTATTGGATCAAATTAAATTCACATTTATCCCACTAAATTTACTAGATAAATTAATTAAATCATCTCATTCAAGTTTCGACTTAATTTTGCTAAACTATAAAATATCCCTTAATTCCCACTATATATTTTTTTTTATATTCTAATTCATATTTTATAATTATATCTAGGTCATATTAGACTTGTCTAACATAAACTGTATATTCCCATTAATTATCATGAACCCACATTATTTTAATCTAATAATTTATCTCACATAATTTCCTTGCATAAGTGTTTAATCTAATTAAACACCTAATTAATTTCTTTTCTTTTAATTTACTAATGAGGGTTGTTATAATCTGCACTTAGTTGCTAACGTTGCAATTTGTGGCTTTGAATTTTATATATATATATATATTCATTTTTGATTTTCGTGTCTGATTTCAA